GCGTTCAAATAAAAACCATCTAATTTGTACAAACCGTGCAAACTTCATTCAACCAATCATAATTTTTCATTTTGTTCATTTTTTTGTAATTATGAGAAGTTGATTAACCATTTTTATTGTGGAGGGTGTTAATCATGGATTTTATCATCTTCATTATTTTAATTTTAGAGAAATACATGAAACAGTTTCATTAAATACTATATGAAACAATTTCATAACCATATATGAAACAAATTCATCAAAAAAAAATATTATATGAAACAATTTCATAACCATATATGAAACAAATTCATCAAAAAAAAGTATTATATGAAACAATTTCACAAGATTAAACAATTTCATGAAAAAATTTCATAAGATTAAACAATGAAATCTACGTATGAAGGTGGTTTGTACGGTTTTTACAAATGAGGGTGGTTTTCATTTGATCGCTCATCTCTCTCTCTCTCTCTCTCCCTCTATATATATATATATATATATATATATATATATATATATATATATATATATATATATATAGTTAACCAAAAAATGGGTTTAAATTTGTGAACTCGTTGGACTAATCAAATTCATTCTTTAATCATAATTACTTCAAATGTTAGAGTCAATAACTAAAGGTACATAAGTAATTTTCATTTATAAGTTACTTCATTGTATTAATAATGAGATTTTACAAAAAAACACTAATTGCTTGTTTTTTAGGGACGATAATTATATCATCCTTTTCAAGATTCTCAAAGATTATGTTCAAATTAATTTGAATGATGAATAATCAAAATGAACACGATACGGTTCAACATATTGATTCGAAGGATTTCTTCGTTTCTGGTGTTTCACATGACGTTCAGTAGTGAACCTAGTTCACATGATGTTCATGCGTGAATCAGAGAAATAATACACAAATAATCGGTCAAAGGTTCATTAGTAAACAATTTTAATAACTAATAACTTATGTTACTTATTATATAAATGTTCATTGATGAATTAATAATATGTTCATTGGTGAATTAATAATATGTTCATAAGTGAACAAGCAAATCGGTTTCAAAACGATGAATGAGAGATTCTTGGGAACTAAAACCGGTGCATAATAAAAGTTCATGAGCTTTTTCAATTTTACATTGTTCAATAATTTTCATTATGAAATAACATGCGTTCATTTTACGATTAGTACAAAAAATGTCAGATATGTTTTAGTCGTTACTCGTTAGATTGAATAAGTGAAAGATCATGATTGATTCATATAATTAACATAAAATATATGGTTAAGATGATCATGCGAAGAACAAACTAATTTACGAGAACACGAGAAGAAATATGAGTCAAATAATCCATGAATTAAAAAATACCATAAATAAAAATGAAAAATATTTATAAAATTAGAATAATTATCATTTTGAGTTGGATAAATTCTTAAAAATCTCATTACATCCTTTAAATGTATTTATTTTTTTATTCTAATTAATTTATAATTTCTTTATCAAGTTTTATATATAATTTTTTTGGATACAGTTTTGATAAGAAAATCACAATTTCAACAAATATTACATTTTATATCCACAATAAATTCATTATTTTTTTCACCATTTTTCCCTCTATTTTTTGAATCCATGTGATTAACTGCGTTTAACATATGGTCTATTACGTATTACATATTAGCCAATATGTGAGTTTTTGTACATATCAAATATGATAATATACATCTTAATATCAACGAGGTGTTATCACATATGATAATATTTACATTACAAAAAAGATCTATAAATATTAAATATATATAATCAAATATGATTAACAAAAATATATTTACAATTATCAAATATTAATGATTGTGGATATTATATCTAATATTTGATGAAAATTATTGTGATTTTTTATATTAAAAGTGTATCTCAAAGAACCATTTAAAAACTTGTTAAAAATTATGAATTAATTACAATAAAAAATAAACGAATTTAAAAGATATAATGAGAAAGGATTTATCCAATTCAAAATGATAATTATCTTAATTCTTAAAATTACTTTTTAATTTTCTATTTATAAATATTTTTTAATTAATGAATTATTTGTCCCATATTTTTTTTGCATTCTTGTAAATTGAATGTCTTCTCGTTTGAATTTGTCCTCCCCACACACACACACACACATATGTAGTAAGAGATTCAAATAAGAAGACTAAATATTGTGAGAAAGTAAGACGATAATATTTATATGTAAACCATGGAAAAACCTATTTGAAAAGGCATGTAAACCATATGAATCAGTTGTAACGTCCATTCACATATGAATTTCAAAATAATTTATTTGGCTGTATGAATTAAGTAAAAAATTTATTCGATTAAGCATTTAAAAAAAACCATTTTATCTTTTGGTTTGGTTTTTCTTTAAGATTACAATAATTTCATTTTGCTCATTCATGAACATACAAAATTTCCATTGAACCTTCAGCATGTCAACATCCAAAAAGCATCCTACTCAAACATGAAACCCCCTCATTAGCATCTTTTTCCAACAAAATGTATATAAGGGATTTTTAGGCAATTGCTGAATGATTAAGTGGTCAGAATGATTAATAGGCTTTCATAATATAATGCAAAATGAAATATAATTGTTTAGTAATTGTGTACAATGAAATTAGGGCTCTTAATGGTTAAGGGAGATCAATGATACAAAATCATTCAAAGGGTTTTAGAATCATTAAGAAGCAAACTTTTTTTTGCCAAACAAGATTCACCTCTCAACAATTCAGATGTTGTCTCTTAATGAAACTATTAAGACGTAAACAAATAACCCTTAAGATTTCCATCCAAAACATGAACTTTCCACAAAACATGTTATTAATGAGTAATAAACATACCAAGAACAAGAGAGAAATCAATTTTTAAAAAACCACATAAATCAACTTCCTCAAGGATGAACGAACTTTTGCTAGCTAGCAGGTATTAAGAACCAACTCCTGTATGGTTTACTGAATTTGCATGTTGGCCACTAATTAAGCCCATTAAGCCATTACGGAATAACCTATAAGTTATAAACAGAACTTAAATACCTAAATATATATTTGACAATACAAAGCGAATTGAAGGCATACTTTTTATATGGAAATTTCCTTTGAAAAGATGGGTTTTCGCCACGACTTCTCTCGGCGATGATAATCTCGTCGGAAAACAAAGTTTTTGACAGAATTTTTAAAGTTCTTTGACGAAATCCGATTGTTTTTCGAATGATAATTTTGGTTCAAAAGTCGATGATGCACAGATGAATCATATTCTACCACTCAAGGATTCATTCCAGTGAAATTTATGATTGACTGGGCTTTTTGGAACTTAAATTACAAGCGCAATAAAGGGAGTTCAACGACAAAAAAGAGAAGTCATTTATGTAACCTTAGCGTACGTTATTGTCTCCTTGGTAGGTGTTGGGGAAATTCTGTAATGATTAGACACATAGTCCTCCACCACCACCTTCTTATATGTCTCCTCCGTGGAACCACCTCGGACCACCGGTCCAATTTCACTCTTGGCCGGAGGGTTATAGAAATAGGCCAACGAAAACCGTTCCACGTCGAGTTGTGTACGCACTCGATGCCACGGGCTTTTGAACACTCCGTTGCTGATAATCTCCACCAAATCTCCAATATTCACGAGCAAACTGTTATCCTCGGGCCATTGGAGGGTCGTCCAAAGATTGTCCTTTAGCACTTGGAGGCCACTCGTGGCTCCAAACTCGAGCAAGAGCGTGAGGGCGCTAGCGTCGGAGTGCGGCAATATTCCTATGGCCAGGTCTGGCCTTGGACATGGCGGGTAGTAATTCACCCTAACCTTGACCTCACTTTGTTTCGGCTCAAAGTATTGTAGGAAAGCATTTTCATCTAGTGATAACGATGCTGCAAGGTCTTGGAGCAACCCATCGAGAACTTCTCTTGATTTTTCCACATATGTTTCTATAGTTTGCCTGTAGGAACTTAATGCATTAGGAAACTTGTATTACAATTAAGATAATAATAAGAAGTTAAGGAGATCTGATAGCATCTGAATTTACCTGAAGTTTGCTGGTTTTGTAGGCCAAATCAAGAGGCCATTAGTTGCTTCATCTGGATCCCCAGGAGCTGCTTTCATGGCGAGCCGATCAATCCAATCTAACGGTTGATCTTCAGAGTTCACGAAATTCTTGCCATATCCCATGTTATCCACGCTCTTATACGATCCAACGCTGGCCTTCTTCTCCTCAAAACTCAATTCAAAGAAACCTCTCACAGCATTTTTAGCATCATCCAACACAACATCCTCCACCCCATGATTCTGGATCAGAAACACACCCCATTCTTTGGCAGCCTCGGCCAGCCTCTGCAGCTCCATGTCTCGGGTGACATCACGTTTTAGTTTGGTTATGTCAATCACTGGAGGGGTAACGATGGAAGTAGCGTGGTTGCCCGGTGGTGTTGGTGGCAAGGCTATAAATCTCTTGGGGAAGTGATTGATGAGGCCTTGGCGTACAAGTTCTTGAACCACAGGAATCTTGGTGGTTTTAAGTTCACCATTTTGGTCGATAAAACTGACTTCATGAGAGTGGGCACCATTGAATTCTTCATTGATCGACATGATGAATTGGGGATTTGAACAATGTGGGTGTTTTCTGAAGATTTATATGATAACTTGTTTTGGTCAGGTTTTGTTAATACCATCGAGACTTCGAGAGAAAGACAAAATGCACGTGGGGCATGTACGTGACGTGTGAACAATCTATTTAAATATCACTATATTTATCTTCTTTTCGGTGAAGATTGCTGAATATTTATAGTCGAATGCTAATAACACCCTCTCATTTACTTATGGCATCCTTATATGATTATTATCTTTTTTGTAATTTTATTCTTTTATTGTCTTTTTTCTTTTTATATTAATTTTTTTAATTATTTTATTATAAATATATATTATTACAATTATTATTTTTTATT